ACTTTTTCGTTTGCGTAATTGAAAGCGTGACCGGTCCTAAATGAAACCGGCCCTGAACGAAACCGGCTCGTGCGCGCAACTGATTCCCGATCCCCTTCCCTAGCCGGGAAGCGATCGAATTATTGTCCAGAATTGTCGCTGGCACGGAGACGCAGGAAAGTCACGAGGGCAGCCGCCCGTGGTTTATTTCGAGAAAAGAAACGTAGCCTTCAACGAGGGAAAAATGTTTCGAATTTTTCGAACGAGAGGAGGGACGTAATCTTGTAATTTCGCGGTTACGGTTTTTATTTAGCAGGAGGGGGAGGCACGGCTGCGCGAGTTACGCGTTTAATATCACGTTACCACATTCTCGTGAGCAGAACTCGTGATTCGGGATTAAAGCAAAGCTTCTGGAACGCTGTAATTGCCGTTTTCTGTGCAACGAAGGTATTTAATTTGCCGCCAACTCCGCGGACCTTTATTAATCATGGGAAAAACTTTATGGCACAATTGGATCGGAGGGTATTACATCGAGCGCTACATAACTACATCCGGTATAGAAAGGAATCCATCTATGTATCCTATTCAATCGCGCGTGGTACATTTCTAATAAAATGTGCGCAATGCGAATTATAGAGGAATATATGTACACGATGGCGGAAGTGTGCCTCGATCTCTTCGAACGAAAGAATAAACGCGATGAAAATTCGATTGATCCGGTACGAACGTTCTGACCGAATTTCCGTGCAATATGTTTCAGTAGTGGACATGCGCACGCGCCTTAACCGTTTAAAACTGTGTGTCCGATATTATGCAAGCCGTGTTCCAGTTTTAAAGCCCCGCTTCGGTATTCCAACTCACTTTCACTCATTCAGCTCGCCACCTCTTTTATCATGCCCTCTCTCCCTCGCTCTTCTTTCTCGCCCCTCTTTCTCCTTCCAACTCTCCTCCTCTCTCTCTCTCTCCCTCTTATACCTCTCCCCCGTTCTCTCGCTCGCCGTTCCTACGACTTTCACTTCTCTTAACTTCGTAAGTCGTCCCTCCCTCACCTCGCCTCCCCCTCGCCTCGAACTTCCAGTTGGAACGCCTCAGAGAACCGCAGTCCCATGATTTATAGAGTATCCATGCGACGCTCGTTGCCACGGAACTGCTACGCGCGATACGATTGAAAATCGCTTCCCGTCTCGCGGTTTTCTAACCCGCCTTTCTAACCCTGTCTCGCCATCACCTCGAAAAATCCGTTTAAAAGGAGGGGGAAGAGGGAATCTGGTCGAAGGATAAATGCCCACAGATAGATCCTGTAGCTCGTGCATATTTTGTAAAGAGAGAAAGAGAGATTTACGACAGTTCCGTGAATAGTTCCGTATATATATATATATAACAGTTCCGTATATATATATATATATTTCGAAAGGTTTATGGTATTTTTATATGGTTTTATTGCGAGATCGACCGATCTAAGGGAAAGGTGTAATTTTCGCGTTATTACATTGTCGCTATTCGATTCCTTGTCCCCTGTAACCCTGATTACAGAGGCCTTAATTAGGCGTTGGAAATTGATTCGAAACGATTGTTCTTGCGATAATTCAAGCAACACGGTAAATGATACTCTCGGTTAGTTAACTCGAGAGTTTTGTTTTCACCGCGTAAAAAATTCTAATTAGCATTTCTGACGGGTAATAACGATGTAATTTATGGACTGTCGGCCGCTCGTTACAACAGTGGTAAACCTTAAAACCGATCGTTAGAGAGGGACGAATTTTGCGGGATAATACCGAGACCCGATCCCTTTCTCAAAATCTCCACCATTGTCTCGCTTTGACGGACACTCGCTCGTTCCGCGAAATCTTCGAGTTTTTACGACGCGCTAGTTTACAGTTTACCGCTTACTTATTGGTTTTCGCGCCTATTATGATTCCCAAATTACCTTTGAACCGAAGCCGTGTGATTAGCCAGCGGCGAATTACCAGCAACGAGAATTTCCATCGCTCGGCAACAATTCGATAACAATTGACTTCGTTCCTCTTTTCGAGTCAGCCTTCCGAACAGTCTTCAGGATTTTTCGATGATTGATCGACGAAATAACGTCAAATTACCTCCTTTTTTTTTTATACGCGTTGCTATAATTACGATAACGTTGATGATAGCTTCATAATGAGACCACCGTGTTGTCTGCCGTGTAATACAGTTCTCACATTTCTGCAACATTCAATAAGGCTGAATGGTGTAACTTTACATCTACTAGGATCTCTGTTTGCCATCCACTCCTCCCTCGCCATGTGAAAATTCAGCGAGTATCTCTCTCTCTCTCTCTCTCTCTGCGAAAAGAACCCGCCGAAAACCGCAGATGTTGCGAGAGAACGGCTAGGCCGTTCAACGAGTTTTGTAATTTTTCGTCGCAAGAGACGCCACTCCTCCCCTTCGTTTCTCGTTCTCCGTTATCGAGATTCATCTCGCCGCGAGGGGGGTGGGTATCATCTGAGAACGGATTCCAAATCAAATTTATAAAGCACCATTCCTTGGAGCAGCGAAACAATCAAATAGGTTTGGAGAAATGTTAACAACAGTCTAATCGAAAATTGGAACGCGAGCGTGTGGAAGAAGGTGGGGCCCTTCGAAGTTTCGTTTGACATTTATTTATAAATATGCCGCGACGAAGTATTCGCGATTTATTATTATCGGGCTTTGTAACATCTCTCTGTAACGCCCCTCGCATCACACGGCCAAATGTCAGAACGTGCACGATCTTGTTTACCCGTCGAACTCTCTCTCTCTCTCTCTCTCTCTCTCCTCTCGCAAAATCGATTACCTTGCGTCGAGATGAAATTGAGCTCGCATCTCAGAAATCCAAGGTCGCGTTCCGATCCCCCTCGGTGTCGATCGTGTCGGCGAGGAAAGAAGAGAAGTCAAGAGACGAGGATCGATCGAGAGAGGAGTGAAAAATCGGAAGGATGGGTGGGTGGGTGGGAGGACGTTGACCTTGAACGCGGTGGAGGAAGCAAGGTCTCGGAGGAAGGTCGGTCGAGGGAATGGGTACCAGGATGCTCGTTTTCCCTCCAAGGCTTTTCCTCGATTTTTCCTCACGACGTTCGCGGCTATAATCGATACTTTCAATCGACAGCGGGAAGGACGAAAGGACGGGTTAAAGAGGAATTTGTAATTTCGCTGGAATTCCTCCAATTGATTTCAATCGATTCTAATTCGACTTATATAACCATCGTCCCTTGAAAAACGTAAAAATTCGCAAATTGCGAAACGGAATATCGGTTTAATTAACGATATATACGATTTTTCTGCTTGTTGAGAACTCGTGACGAGAGTTTGTGATTTTAATTTAGACGGAACGGTACTCGGGCCCACGCATTTGCGTCCAACGCTCGCGACGTTGCCTCGATGATAGAAAGTATCCTCGCGGTTGCTAAACGAGCCGTGTTTTTGCTCCGTGTGGCCCGAACAAGAGAATTTCCCGCGTACGTCGAACTCTGTTGCCCTGTGCAACCAGCACAGTTGTGGCGGCCGCGCTTGCGAAATTCGAGCCACTTGGATGGAAACATTCGGGCCCCGCCACGTTCGAATCGGAAGGCGAAGGTTGCAATAATGATCGCTCCTCTTTTTTTTTTCCTCCTCCCCGCATTTTCGTTTCGTTCCAGCCGCCACGTATGATCATGTTAACGGATGGAAAAATGTTGGACTTGCGGTTGTCAGCTTCTTGAGGAGAGGAGGGAAGAACGGAAGGTTCGATCGACCGGTTTTGATTCGATTAGACGCGTTCGATCTCGTCGCGATCTTTACGTACACACGATACGATCTATTCGCAAGTTGCTCAATTCCGTGGGTAAAGGATGTCTTCGATCGCGTCCCCAGCATCGAAAAATTCATTACGCGCGTGTGACGCGCGGGGACTAATGATAGTTGCGTAATAATCGGTTCCCCTCGCCTCGATCGTGGAAAGGCGAAGAGATACACCGTTAGCCTGTTCATCGACGCAAAAACGTCTATTCACTTGAGAATATTCTCGTATGCGCGTATCTTTTCTTTTTTTCATCATTATTGGCAATTGACAACTCTGGTCGTTTGCAACTCTGATGGTAATTTTCCATCGTTGTGAAAATATTCGAAAATCATTCCGTCTTTATTATTCTATTCTCTTTTCTATGCACGCATAAATTTTACCCGAGACTACCGTACCCACTTTATAACTTTACGACTTTTATGGTTTACGAGCATTATATAGATTTCAATCTCTAGAATCCCTATTCTTAAATGGATTATGGCAGCTTACGCGGGCGTTGACAGGTAAATTCTTAAAATCCCCGGGCGCGTTAACAAAGGTGGAAAATATATTTAGAATCGAAGCAGGCCGGGCAACAGACACACATATTCTCACGTCTAAGATGGAAGGAGGAAGGTGGCGCAAGTCACGTTTCCAACAAATCAATTCGTCGTTCCCGCACCCGTCGGTCCCACGGATGAAATTGTGCCAGAAAGCTTTAGTGGGATAATCGAATCCGCCGCCAGGCGAAACAATGGTGGAACGTAGAAACCATTTTCAACAAAATACCGGTGCTATTTAACCGGTGGTAACAAAGTGGCTGCGGCGCAACCGCATCTCGTCTCCTCTCCTCTCCTCCCGCTTCTGACGAAACATTCGCCGATTACGAAAATATTTGGCGCCACGTTCTCTCTCGTTTCGTTTCCTGCCCTGCCCTTTCGAGACTATGCCTCGAATTTTTGCAATCGCTTCGCCTGCTCGAATTTCTTCACCGTGCGTAAGCGCAAGGTCGACCAAAAATCCGGTTACCCGCTCGATTACGCAATCGGCTGCACCGTTCACGTTCCACCGCCACTCGATCCACGGATATACGCTATAATTCAAACCGTGTATCTCTGGACGGAGCGCGCCTTTCTCGTGTTCGTATTTTCTTTCTTCTCTCTCTCTCTCTCTCATCGAATATGCACTCCCACGGAATATGGAGCGGGCGATATCCGCGAGACTGATGGATGGATTTGATCGTTTTCAGGATGTCAACGAAACCCCATTCCAAGAAGCGCCAGAGCGAGCAGGAACGAGGCGGCGTTGGAATTCGAGTGCCCCGAGGAATTCGGATATTACCCTCATCCTCGTGATTGCACGCAGTATTACGTGTGCGTGTTTGGCGGAGCTCTGCTCGAGTCCTGCACGGGAGGATTGATGTACAGGTGGGTACTCTTTTCAAAAATTAATTCTTAACTCGAATCGTCGCGAGATGGCGTTTCGCGAGAGTAAGTGAGTTCGCTGATGGAAAGAAGGAAGGGAGAGATGAATATGGAAGGAAACATTTTCACACGAATTTTCGTTTGAAGAGTTTCTCGTGTGCCTAGACATTGTTCGTATATGTCATTTGAAACGATAATTTAACTCGTGATTAAGAGGGTTCTAAACATTTTTTTATCTCTCTTGGCTTAGGTTAATTATTTGTATATTGATAGTTTAATTTACATATGGAATGAAAATAATTTTTACAATTTTGAACATTCACGTTATTAACCCGATGATAAAAAATCGTATTTAAATACATGCATAGTACTAAAAGATTGAACTCGCAAATATCAGTTAGTATGAACGTTGCGTATGGTAGAAATGCCGTTCACACATTTGATGTGGTTAAACTCCATTACCATTACTATCAGCGCGTGGTGTGAGGATTGTCGTCAAAGCGGAGAGGTTGAGATAGCTGTTTCGATCGGTGAACAGCGGTTGTTGGCGAAGAAGGAACGGCAGGAACGTGGAAATGATCCCGATCGACCGATATGGGCAGAGATTAGTAGTAGCGCGGCCGAATAATGGCGGGATCGAAACGCGGTATTGTCATGCCAGATATAGACAGGCCTAATGGATGTGCTCTCCCATATTCCCAACACTGAGTGTGTATATTGCGAGATAGAGATTTCTATTTCTTGCCCCGGATCCAACGAATAAGAACGAGAGGAATTCGTTTTCTGGAAAGTTTTCGAAAAATCGGTTTTAAATACCGCGCACATCTATATTTTATACAGCAGTTTTGCGAGCCGTTAACAAACGATGAAAAAAACACGAAGATTCTCACGGGTGAGAACGAACCTTCCTCCATCGAGTTATGTCACGCGTCATCTTTTCAATCAACCGTTGCAACACATCTTCGATCAAGAATTTACATTTGAATTTTTAACAGTGTCGATATCGAGGAGAAAATTTTCTTTTTAACTCTCGATTAAAAGGGGGTATAATATCGAAAAATCGGAGCCAATATCCCTCGATTCAAAGAATTTAAAAAATGAAACGATGTCGAAGAAACTTGTTCCCCGATTGAAAAAAAAAACACTACGCGTTATGATAATTCATGGTGGTCAGATAATTTATAAAAGACACACGAGGAAGATTCGGACACGGATGATGTTTTTCAATTGTTCACACGAATTATAAAATTAATTGTTGACGATCGACAAATTTTCCTTCTAAATTCTCAAAATACGGAAGCACGATCCTGGTTCACTTTCGATTGAACGGGTGAAACGGGGCCGTACGCATAATCGTGGAAGAAAAGAAAAAAAAGAGAAAAGATCGGTTTGCCACACCTCTCGAAACGCGACAGCGTGTACGAACGAGTTCGCCGTAAAACCGGCCTACCTGCCCTAAGACACGCGATGCTAATACCGTGTCCAATTAAGGATGCTCTAAAGTAAAACTTACTTTGTAGACGGGATTCCAAATCAAATCGAAGAAAAAAAAAAATGCGTGCGAATTATTATATACGCGATTTCCATAAACGATTAATCTCAACGATTATTTTCGAATCGAAGGAAAATCGTGCGTTGTCTTCTTCTTTTTTCACAGCCACGAGTTGCAGACGTGCGATTGGCCGCGTAACGTAGGTTGCCCCGAAGGCGGATCTCCCGTTAAGGAAGCCGAGGAAGAAGATCCGCTGTTGGAAAGGTGAGTTTTCGACTCGTTTTAAAAATTTAACAAACTTATTAAATATATAATTTTATCGTTCGAAACGTAATAATAATAATATTCGATTCGTTAAAGAAATATTTTTATTAAACTAAAATTTTAATTATTTTTTTTTTTTTTTTTTTTCTTAAAAACACTTTCCAGTACTCTTACTATGTTTACCATGTTATTTCAACTTAAATGAAATTGACGGGCGATTTGTACACTCTTTAGAACTATCTTCAATTAAAATAATTATTTTAATTTATTTTTAAATTAATCCTCTTTCAAATTCATATTAAAATAAATTATCCAAAAATTTAATTTATTGAAATTCATTTTTAATCTTAAATATACTGCATTTTGATTTGAATTTATATTTTATAAAATATCATTAATTTAAATTTATTTAAATTATTTAAACAACAATACACAAGTTAATAATTTAAGTATTTCTTATCGTGGATTATCAAATTAATTAACAAATCTCTCTAATTGGATATAAAAAGCCGCCATATTATTTAATTTTAATTATTTAATATCTTAAATTAATTTTATAATAGGATATCTAATCCTAGTCTTTAATCAAATTTTATAATAAATAAATTTAATGAGCAACCTAAGAAGTTAATAATCCCAATCTCCGTAAAAAATCCTTCCTTTAATCGTTCCTGCAACTTATCCTTTATCTTTTCAATCCATTCCTACATCTCCCTCTCCCTCTTCCATGAACGATTAGCCAAGAGCGCCTAATCGATTTAAGCGAGAGGCAAAACGTCCTTCTCCTCCGATCTGTATCGCCGGATGTCCGTCGATTGCACAATTGGAAACACGATCGACATCGTCGTTTCGCAAGCAAATCGTCGAACTTCACCGCCGCGTTCGTGGCGTGACAAGAGGAAAAGCTGAGCGTGGTAAGAGTTGGAGGGAAGAAAAAACGAAGGAGAAGGAATAAAGAAACCTATGCGAGAAAGGCATAGGTCTTGTTTTCTTTTTCTTCCTTTTTTTTCTTTCCACTTATCGAAACCATTGCACGAATCAACGATCTTGCAGCACGCGAGAATAACAGCACGGTTGAGAAAATAGAGATAGTGACGTCAAGAGTGGAACAATAAACTTCGATCTCCTCTATCCCTCTCTCTGTTCCGCTTGCCATTAAAATTCTATAACGAATGCTCACCTTCACCTCGCCGATTGCCACATACTTTTCTTTTTTTTTTTTTTCCCTCTCTTTTCCTTTTTTCGATTAATTTCTACTATATTTACTTCTTCCATCCCGCTCCCCTCTTTCTTCTGAAAAGTTGGATCAGAAATGAAAACGGTTAAACTCTTCGTCCATCCGTCCAAGTGGAACTCGTTGCCGAAAGGATTAAGCGGAAAGCCGGGAAATTATAGTTGTATAACCACAATGAATCCAGCCTCCCCCACTCTCTCCAATGTTTCTCGGGAATAGACACGACTTCCCTTGTGTCTAAGGAAAAGTTAAGCAACGAGGTTGCTCGCTCATTAATGTATCGTGCGCGAGTAATCGGGAGAAAGAAGCGATTTCTCAATTGCCGTGCGCCGCTGTACTTTTTCTATTCCCTTCTCGGGGCCCTGATCGGCGTCCTTGCCATTCCGTGTTTCGTTTCGAGAACAAAACTTGCAATCGATAATTCTCTCTCTCATTCTCTCTGTTATCGTCACGGGACAAAGATGTGTCCTCGTAATTCGAGGAAACGAAGAAAACGAACGGGGGGATGTCGAGCGTGGCTGGGCAAAATTGAAGAGTTGAATAAAGTTACTTCGATAATTTATCGTTCGAAAGGCGATAATAATAATTGTAAACGTAAATCGTGGTTGCGTGAAAAACGGATCGATTATGTAATAGCTACGAATAAATGTTATTCAAGCGTTATTCGAAATTTTTAACTTAACAATTTTCTGATTGATAAAATACAGTAATTAAAAAAGAATCGACGCGTTAACGTTAGAAATACGCTCCGCCATTCCGTTTCCCACGGACGAACAATAATGAATAATTTTATTTATTACCGTCCGTCTCCTTTCCGTCTCATATCCTTTTTATATAAAGGATATGATTTGTGATTTTTTTTTTTAAGTAGACTTAAAAAGAAAACTTTTTAAAGAAAGAAATTCCCAATGATTCCTGATGATTTCTAAAAAAAAAAAAAGAAAAAGAAAAATATCCAAGTCTATAAAATGAATCGCTTAACCTTTCCAATCTTTCGAAATGTAATTTTCTTACTATAATTTTCCTCGCCAATCCAAGAAAGATTTACAAGAGAAAGGAATGAATTTGAATAATTCAAATTTAATGAAATTTAATTCGAAATAACGAACGATTCCTCGCTCGATTTGTTCGACTGTTGGAATTTGCGAAATCCCAAGATGAAGAGAAGATGGAGGAAAATGAATCGTGTCGCAATTGTTCTCTTCTCGAAACCGCGTAGATCGGCGAAGATCGAGAGCCTTGAGGAGCAGCAACGGGCCCAGCAACAGATCCGGGAGCCGCAACAGCAGAGGCGCGAACAGCAGGCTCAGCAGCGCACGGTTCAGAGGCAATCGGCAACGACCACCCCGTCCCCCGTGGCGCAGATCACCGAAAAGCAGATTCGTCAGAGGCAACAGGCGAGGACCAACTATCACGAGGACGAGTACGAGCCGGCCTCGGAAGTGGAGAGCGACAGGCAGCAACGAGTGTACAGGGGGCAACCGTCGACGATCGGCCAGGTTCAAAGGGACAGGGATGGTTTAAGAAGGAACGTGATCTCGGTGAGTTTGCTTCGAATTCTCTTCCAAACTTGAAGAAACTTGAAGTATTCGTTTTTGACGAGATAAATTGGCCGTCAATCGGCCAACAAACAGGAAAGTCGTCGTAGGCCAGACGTAAAAACGAGAACTCGGACAACTCTCTCGCTATTTTCCCAATTTCTCCGTTATTTTTCGGCCTCTCCACGTTGCGTGGAGAACGAGTTTTCGCGAGAGACGAGTGAATCGTTGCCGCGAGAAATTAATCTCTCGACTAACTGTTGCAGGAAAGGGAGAAGGAGAGCCTGGTGAGCACGCGCGCCCAAACGGAAGCCCATTACAGGTACGTGTTTGAAATCGGACCGCCACGACCTTTTTACTCGATTTCTCTTTCGCCGTGGGCTCCTTTAATTCTCTCGGTGGCTGCCCCGCCGCTTTACGTAACCGTCCATCTTTTTTTTTACCTTCTTTATTTCCCTTTTTCACTCCGATTATCTCACGAAATAGCTCTAGTTACGACAGATAGAACTCTCTCTTTCTCACTGTTTGATAACGATTCGTTTGAAAGGACGCCATCCTCCGAGTCTCCAAGGGTGGCCAAGATCCTGGCGTCCACCGCGGCGCCTGTCATCTCTAAATCGTACTACAATGACCCGGACCAGAGTTATCCTTACTACACAATTTACGACGACGACGTGTCCATTTATAAGGACGATGGTAAAGTAACCGCGTTGTTACGATCGTGCCTCTTTGTTAAATTTAAATGAGGGAAATCCCTCGAAATAATAGCTTTTGAGGAAAGGTAATAAATTTTTCGTCGAATGATCGATGGTTCGGCCCGGGAACAGATTACAACCAGTACACGGTGAATCAATCGGTGCCCGTCCAGCCGAGCGTCAAGATCAGCGAGGTGAACGCGAAGCAGTATCAAAAGCCGAAAAAGGTGGCGGTGAACGAGGCGGACAAGTACAATTTGAACCAGGACGTGACGGTGCAGGACTACGATATCTACGAGAATCAGGTAGGATGGAAAGTGTTTTGCCGCGGTTTTAGAAAGGAGAACTGGAGCGCGTATCGGCGCGAATCAAAACTGTTGTTTTTCTGTTTTCTCGAACCGCGGCTCCCAGGCTCAGCTCAACAAGAACAAGTTCCGCATTACCGAAGGCCAGTCGTTCAGGTGAGAAAATTCCTCTCGTTGATCGAAAATTCCAACGGAAATCCGTTGCTCGAACAATCAATCGAGGCGAGAAAATTACGATCGTTGCGATCGTTCGACTCCTAACCACGAGCTTTCATCGAGATGTCATACCTATTCTTGTTGTAATTGCGCTCGTCTTGAGAAGCGAAAGATGATATCCACCAACGTTCTTACGTTGATTTATTTGCCGTCCATCCATCGACTGATATTCCGGGAAGTCGAGCGAAAATCGTGCTTACGTAAACAGATTGGATTATCTATCTATCTATCTAATCATTAAAAATAGTCACGGATACGCTGTTCGCCATATACTCGCTCGAACTGGTCTCGGTGACCCGATTTATTTCTAAATTCCTTTAACACGCGAATGTTTTCCTAAATATTTTATTCTAAATTTCCTTTCTAAATGGCGAGCAACGAAGAAAAGAAAAAAAAAAATGACGAGATACTTTGTACTACTTTCATTGCCCGGGTATTCGAAAGAAATTTCGATCAATTAAACGCGTCGCGTGTCCGCAGGCCGAACGTGATCAGCCATCCAGTTGTCCACGTGACTACTCCAAACGCCATCGTAGACACGTTCATCCCGTTGACCACGACCACGCAGCTTCCGACCACCACCAACAGGCCTTACACGGTCAACGCACCCAGGTACAGTACCCGCCGTTGCCCACTTTTTTCTCCCCTCCCCCCCCAATTATGCAACCAAAAGCGAAATGGAGTTAGAAAAAAAAAAAAAAAATCACCGATCGATATTATTTCCAAATGCGAGTAAATCGTGTTACCGAATCCTTGTTTCACGCTTTCTTCGATCGCGTATATATATATATATATATATATATCGATTGTGTTGAAACATTGCGTTTAAAAATGTTTAAAAGATTGGATACGATATAAGAATAACGATAAGAGATAAAAATTCGAGAGCAATACGCGTGAGTACGCGTTCACTTTTGTTATGCGCTGGACGCGCAACTGCTCGTGAAAGTGGTGGTTTAGATGGATCGTACGCGAGATCGAATACGCTATAATATTACTTACTGTCAGTTTCTCGTGGGAACGACGAGTCCAATTAAGATTTTTTTTTTTTTTTTTTCGTTTTGCAAAATATATATATATATATATATACGCGCGTGTATGTGTGGGTGGTATAATATATCTGTACAATGTCAGATTACGATTAGCATCATCCTCGATTGGCATCTTCGATCTTTATTATTCTGTTTGTACACTTGATTCTTTCGATTTCCGTAGAAAGAGGAGCGAAGGAAATGGCCTTGTAACGTCTCCATCGACCAAGACCCGATTTCGCCTTTCTGTATATTCCGTTAAACGAAACGCTCGCTTTCTCTCCCGGCAGTCGAACATTTTCCTTTTGTGCACCGCCGGAAACATCGTCCATTTTTCAATCTCTTTTTTCCACAGCCTCTCTCGAGAGGCTCCTCCTCGATTTCTATTATCCACGTTCTATTCAATCCTTTTTGTTTTTTTTATCTCCTTTTTGCTTTCAGCCGAGGTCGCCCGCAACAGGTCCATCGTGGCACGGCACCACCGTAAGTTTCTCGATCGAGAATCGATTTTCAATCATTTGTTTTCCGTTTGTTTTCCGGTTTGTTCCTCGACGAAATTAGCGTTACACGTCGATCTCGAAATCGCGTGTGATTTATTAAACGCGTTGTCGGTGCCGAAGTGTTTTTTTCGTTCCTTTTTTTTTTTTCTTTTTTTGTGCACTGTTGTACAATTTTACGCTTTGTATATAACGTGTACGTATAATCTTTACGCTTGTACGTAACGTTGTGAAAAACGTTGTAGTTAGAAAGTGAAGTTTGTTGTCTCGTCATTTGTTTGCGATACGAGGGATCGACATCGTCGTGTAATTTTCCAATTAATCGACAAATTGTCCGTGAAACGCCAACGTCAATAATCGCGCGAGACGATGAGTAGAGGAATTAACGGCGAAATATCCGATCCGGTTAGCTCGTAAAAAAAAAAAAAAAAAACAACATCCGAGATCCGTTAGCTCCAATGTCGTGCGTCTCGTTGCGTCGAAGGTGAACGAACGAGGTGGCTGCATCGAATTAATGTAACTAGAAAGTTAATCGCGTGTATGTTAACAAGTTGTACAAGCTGCCGTTAAAATTACTACGCGATAATGAAAAAATTAACAGGGGATGGGCGGGGGGGGAGGCGGGGAGGGGGAAAGAGAAGGAAAGAATCGCGACGAAAGAAAAGGAAAGGAATTAATCAGGTTTCAATCGATGGATCGATAATAATAATTATCGATCGTAATTCATTCGGTCGGGAAAAAAGTGAAATCACGAAATCGGCGGCGACAACAACGCGATATTTTCTTTTTCTTCCCCCCCCCTCCCCCCTCCCCCCCTCGAACACAACCGGAAAACGACGCGTCGCCCTTTCTCGAAACCGTAACGAAATTCGATCTTCTTCAGACGATCGCGGCCAACCTTGAAACCATCGACCGAGATCGTGTCGAAAGCGCAAGAGTTCGTCGACATCTACAGGTATCCTCCATCGAGGCCGGCGCCGATTTATCCGACCCCTCAGGTCGACAAACCGGCGGCCAAGTGTCGCAAGGACGTTTGCCTTCTTCCTGATTGCAGCTGCGGCGGTGCCGACATTCCAGGTAAGCCGGCCGAATCCATCACGATAATTCCATTTCGATTCGAAGAGGAGGAGAGGGTTGTTGAACGCGGAAAAGTCGGATCGATGTGCTTACACGAAAACGATACGACGGCTATATGCGCGCGCGTGTGTGTGAGACGCAAGCGGCCGCGAATGTTAAGTTTAGCCGATCGATTTAGCAGCCACCCAACCGACTTTCTCCGATTCTAACGTTACACGCATAACCGCTCGAAAGTGAAACAGATCCGCCTCGCTCCGCTCGTAATTTCGCACGTGCAACGCTCTCGATTCCGACATTCGAAATCGAAAGCTCGCCGCGTGACGTGAATCCGAAGGAGGATCTAGGCACATCGATCCCATTATCGATACGCATCGGGCGTATATATATATATCGATTCGATATTCGTATATAATATAAGATACGTCGCGGGTTTATTTAACTTAAAAGCGCGTCCGGATCGCGATAATAATATTTTGCCCGCGGCACGGTGATAGGTCTGGGATAATGATTGTGCAACCGTACGTACATAAATCATTCGGAAGAAAATCTGCCAGAGTCGTCCTCTCTTCCTACGCTACGCGGAGATGATTCACAGATTATATTTCTGAATAAATATAAATGTAAATGTGCGTCGCGTGAATTGTATGGGAAGGATCGATCATTTTTTTTTTTTTTAGAAGAAGAATTAAAAAAAATTGTTAATTTTCTAGCTAGGCTAGAATTTCGAATCGATTCACGAATCGAGCCCTTGTGAACCCTCCACGTGTATAATGTCGTGTATACTCAGGTGGAATCCCGGTCGAACAGACGCCGCAGATCGTTCTTCTGACGTTCGACGACGCCGTGAACGACCTGAACAAACCATTGTACACCGATCTATTCGAAAACGGCCGTAAAAATCCGAACGGTTGTCCGATCACGGCCACGTTCTACGTTTCGCACGAGTGGACCGATTATAGCCAGGTGCAAAACCTTTACGTGGACGGCCACGAAATGGCATCGCACACAATCTCGTAAGTTGTGCAAACGGGATGCGCAAGAAAAAAAAGAAAAGAAAAGAAAAGAAAAGAAAAGAAATAGTAGTTCGAAAACATCGCTTCTTCATCGCTCTAATAATAATAATAATTCGAATTTTATTATCGGGATCAAGTAAATCTCGCTTCCATTCGCTAATTCGGTATCGCTCGCGCCAATACACATGGTTCATCGCCCGCGCGTTCATCTCTTCGATTTAGAAATCGTTCTATCTCGAGCAACGTTCTAATCGATTTGGGAAAAACCGCTTTTTCCATCCATCCACGATCCTCTAATCCTCGAAGCCGAGTGGACGAACCAGGCCGCGGAATTTCTTCCACCAAAAATCAACGACGCGCGAAGGAAACGCAAATCGTATCGTTTTTTATTGTTTCGTTTCAACGATGCGAGGATTCTTTCCATTCCGTCCTCCCTCGATAGATGGCCGTTGGTCAAGATAGCGCGTCTCTCCGGAACAAATTGGCCGGCTTGGATCCCACTCGTTACGCCCGGCCAATTAGAGGATCGTGGAGGATCGCGATGAAACGATAAATGGCGACGTTCACGGGTGGTGAAACGGGTGGCGACCGGAGATGAACGACGGCACAGTTTCACCGCCTGTGCCCTGCACTAATGACGCATACTAACTTTTCTTTCTTCTCTCTCTCTCTCTCTCTCTCTCTCGTTCTTTCTGTTCGCATCACTCGATCATTCCTCGCAATTCCCATCACACTTTCAAAACACTCGTCGTGAACGCCACGTTTATGTCGATTGCACGACACGATTATCCTTCGAACAAAATACAATACAAATGCAACGTCGTCGTCGATATACACGGGACACGTCCTTCCTTTCGTCCCCACCTCCCTCTCCTCGAGAAAAAGAAAAAAATAGGTGACTACCTTCCGGAGGAGATACCGCAAATCGTTCTCCTGACGTTCGACGATTCCGTGAACGATTTGAACAAGGGCCTGTACGCCGATCTGTTCGAGAAAGGGAGGAAAAATCCGAACGGTTGCCCCATCTCGGCCACGTTCTACGTCTCCCACGAGTGGACCGACTACAGCCAAGTTCAAAATCTCTACGCGGCCGGTCATGAGATTGCCTCCCACACGGTCTCGTAAGTACATCATCCTATCTGCTGGGGGAAAAAAAAAAAAAAGAAGAAGAAGAAGAAAGAAAGATGAACGAACCAAAATTTTCCACTCGACACTCCCCCTTCGTGTACCCTTCCCGAAGTAAAGCTTTTTCTCTTTCTTATTTGTTTACACACGATAAGAAAAAAAGATCTCACTCTCGAAGGATACTCGATCGATCGAGCATTTTAAAGGAGAAGCATTAATCATTTAATTAATCATTATCATTGAGCAGCTTGTGTTCAATTGTCTCGTTTTCACGCTCTGCATCTTGTTAGAAGTTAACTAATGCCAGCTTGATTAGTCGAGATATCAACTTGCCACGCTTAATTCGGGAAGATATTTACTGCTTTCGCGCATCGACGCGGGTTAGAATGCAGGAAAACGGATCGAGAACCGGTTTCCCAACAAACAAACAAACAAACGAACGAACGAACAAATAAATAAACAAACAAGCGAGAAAAAGATAAGATTGGTTTCGTATCCTCTCTCGAAAATTATTTTTCCACGATTTCGAAAAAAAACTTGTGGACCGGTCGATCGAATTTCTTGGATTGCCAGCCTGCGATCGCGTGTCCCCTTTTTCGAATATCGAATGATCGACGGACCTCGATAAAAATCCCCTCCCCTCCCCCTGGAAACAGGCACAGTTTCGGCGAGCAGTTCTCTCAGCGAAAGTGGGCGCGAGAGGTTGCGGGACAACGTGAAATCCTCTCGGCTTATGGAGGCGTGAAGCTGGAAGACGTGAGAGGAATGAGGGCCCCATTCTTGTCGGTAATATTTTCACTCGTTCGTTACTCGTTCGTATAAGATGATAATAGCGGTCAAAAATCCGATCGATTCTCCGAGATTAAAAAAAATATCTGTCTGGAATCGTAACAGGTCGGGGGAAACAACATGTTCAAAATGTTGTGGGACACGAACTTCACGTACGACTCGTCGATGCCGATTTACGAGAACCGACCGCCCAGCTGGCCTTACACCTTGGACTACAAGCTGTTCCACGACTGCATGATACCTCCCTGCCCCACCAGGTCTTATCCAGGCTTGTGGGAAGTTCCTATGGTGATGTGGCAGGATCTGAACGGGGGTAGGTGCTCGATGGGAGACGCGTGCAGCAACCCGCCCACGGCCGATGGTGTTTACAAGATGCTGATCAAGAATTTCGAGAGACATTACACGACCAACAGGTAAGTTTTGCTCGTCCATTTTTTGGATTGTTTCGATTCGAAGCTCTAGAAGAATCGATAGAGCGGGTACGATATAATTAAGGGATAAATAATTTTCAGAGCGCCGTTCGGATTGTTCTATCACGCGGCATGGTTCACCCAGCCCCACCACAAAGAGGGTTTCATTTCGTTCCTGGACACGATAGTAGCGATGGACGATGTGTGGATCGTGACGAATTGGCAGGCGATCCAATGGGTGAGGAATCCTACGCCTTTGCCCCTGTTGCACACGTTTGAACCGTTTGGATGTAACTATCCGGTACGCCGATATATATCTTTGTATCCATTAAAGAGAGACAGAGGAGATCCGTTGGATTTATCATCTTTTGGATCGATAGGACCGGCCGAAGAAGTGCAACAATCCGAAGGTGTGCAATCTTTGGCACAAGAGCGGGGTGAGGTACATGAAGACTTGCCAAACGTGTCCTGACATCTATCCGTGGACGGGCAAAACCGGGATACGAAGCAGTCGCATCGACAACGACGTCGATGCGCACGAATGAAGAGAGGGGAAAGAGGGATCCGTGCGATCGAGGTCCACCCAGCCGGAGTGAAGCGTAGCAGCGCCAACCGAGGAGGAGATTCGTGATATTTTTCACAGCGACTCATTCGATTCAAATCCCGCCCCTTATTTCTCTTCACTTCGAGCCAAACGAAACGTATATCCAGCTCGAGTACGCCAACGAGATCGAACGAAACTCGAAAGAAAGAAAGAAAAGCCAACCACGCCCAACCAACGCTGTTCCCCTTCTTTTCCGTAGGAAAGAAATCGCGAAGGAACGAGAGCGCCACGCGATGGAACAACCTATAAACTTGCTTACGCGCATGCACAGTAGGAAGAAACGCGTTCGTTCGTTCGTTCGTTCGTCTTTTTCTTTTTCTTTCTTCTTTTCTTTTCCTTTCCTTTCCTTCGAAACGAACACGCGTCCCGATCGGTAAACGAGAAAGAAAATTCCAGCAAAATCTCCAGTGTGCTTGTCGTATATTATATTAATATACGCCGGAAGCCTTTTTCAAACTTCGTTGCGTATCGATAAATCGATTAAAATTTCTTGTAGTTTTTCGTTATTCGGCGACAAAATAAATAAAAGATCGAACGGAACGTTTTGTAAAGATTTTTTTTCTTTTTTCAATCAAGAAAAACAGATGTATCGGACATTAACGCAACAGATTAATTAACTGTATTTGTACACGTTGACAATGATATTTCTTGTCTTTTTTCTCTTTTTTCTATTTCTATCAATGTGATGCGAGATTGACAGGATTGTGCTAGTACAACTCGTGGAACTCGAGAAATTGGTCGATACTTTATGCTCAAATCGGACCAATTATTCGTGATTATCTTCTTCTTCCGCGTGCTCCTTTCTTTTCTATTCTTCTTCCCCCCTTTTTTTTTCTTTTTTCTACTTTCTCTCCTCGATCCCGTTCAGCTGGAATCCTTGGCGTACTCGGCCGATAGACGAATTAATTAATTACAAAGTAAATATCGTGGATGTAGAAACGTAAACGCAAAACTGGTATCGTCGGTCGCGAGAGAGGTTTCCTAAAATCGATCTGGAGGTTCAAGGTACGCGCGGAGGACGAGAGAAACGAACCTTGAGACAACGAGTGTTCGCTTTAAACGAATTATCGTGTACACGCGAGGGGATCGTCGTGTATATGTTTTTTTTTTTTTTTAGTAACCTGAAACTGTAATACGCCTTCCTTAAATCAATAAATATTTCGCTACAATCCCTTGTCTTCTCATTTCACCGTTATCCTCTTCCTCTTCCTCGCGATTATCGCGGGACAAGAATCGAAAGATCGGTCAATAATTATACCTGGGATGTGGATACGGGTACAATATAGTGGACCAAGCGATCGGCTTGAGCAAATGGATCTCTTGCCATAGAATACCTTCCGAGGTTGCCACGAATTCCACCCAATACTCCGCCATGTTGTTAAAGAAATCCACTTCCCAAGTCTGCGTAATAATCGGTCGATTGTTTGAAACGAAGATAGGATCGATTATTTTTATATCAGCTTACCCTTTTGTTCTGTTCAATCCACGCGACAACCATTTTGTTCCTTGGGCGATGGCGTATTTTTCCGCCCTCGTCATGCAAGCTTGCGACGTCGATTTTCGGCCACGGAGAAGTCTCATGTAGGATTCGAGGAAATATATGAACGGTTTGATGAACGGGAAATAGAAGCTCATGTTGTGAAGATACTTGATGATCTTTTTCGCGTAATACGTTCGTTCGAAGAGGTCGTACGATTGCGGAATATCGAGCCGCCGGTATAATATTAGCAAATAAGACTCGAGGCCCTGCGACGTTAACGACGTTGTTAAAAAAAAAATTATTATACAATTTGTATAATTCGAGTTCGATTCAAGGTCCTTGATACCTTGATGGAACAATACAATTTTGAAAAATCGTAACACGTGACATCCCCCAAATACAGTTCGACATTTTTCACAAGTTCGCTATTCACCGGTACGTTCCTGTACAAATAAATAAATATATTGTAATATATTGGCCGAATATTACTCTCACTCTCAGTTTTATTACTCACATTCTTAATTGCCAGATAAGTAGAGCATTGTTCAGATGCAACAGACTTGTCGGATCTCGTGCTACGCAAGTTTTCAACTTGGTGTCTGAGAAAGAAAGCAGGGAGGGAAAAAGATTTCGATAACGATCGGGAAGCAGTGTGTAAAATGATGCTCACTTATAAAGGTATAAAACTTGTTGCAACTGCTGTAACTTTCTAAATTCATAGAGGCGTCCAATAAAAATTCCAGGCAAAGGGCGTAATACCACGTGAGAGCGGAATAATCTACGTCCTCTTCGGAGCTGTAATACAATTCGGATAACAGGTCGACAGCCTCGTTTATATACTTCTTCCAAACCTGAAACAATATTAAATTTTTTTCCCCCCGATTTTTTACACAAAGATAATTCACATTTGTTTGGGAAATATATTATGTACGACGATATTTTACCATAATTTTTATCAATGACGGTAGAATGCTGAACTTTATTTGAGTTAAGTTTATATAATTACATATCTTACAGATTATTATCCCAATTTCTATACCTTCGTTGAATTTAGCCTGCAATATTCTTTCATCGATCATCAAATAAATAATTTGCCCAACCTTTTTTCTCTCTCTCTCTCTCTCTACGAAAAATTCAAATAATCAATTAAATTAATTACCTATGCTCGTACATCATTTTATAGATTTTCACTAGAATAATAATTTCCTCGGGTTTTGTCCAACCAGCCAGTGCGGTTTTATTTCTAATAACCACTAATATCATTTCTTCTACATCATTTATCATCCCGATATCGTTGAGCTGACGAAAAATGTCTACGGCGCATAGATAGATCTTTCCTTTCTCTAAGAAAGTGCTCGAATTTTTAAATATCATACGAATACTTTGCAAAATAGTGAGATTCGCAAATTTCTTTTCGCTCTGAAACTAAAAATTTTATATAACCATGTTATGTACTTGAATTGGGGGGGGAGGGGAGGGGAGGGGGAAGGGGGAGAAATTAAAATTATTTTTCACGATACAACGTAAATAATACGTACCATTGAAATCATAGACAAACGTTGCAAAGCGATAGCTAATCCTATCGTCTCGTCGTCTAAGGACGATTCTTCATTTTTGAAGAAAATCTTATAAATACCTTTTATCATGTATCGTAATTTCTCGATTAGAATATTGTAACAAAGCATTCTAACATTTTGCGGAATCTCGGTTTTCAATATCACCGCCTCGGTATAATATTTCTTCGCTTCGGAATAATTTCCATACGCAACGTAGGCGTCCCCTTGGAACAAGCATATTCGACCGTCCATATTTCAACTCGAAGATCGTCAATTTGTTTATTATATATGCGGGGAGAATTTACCTATTAAAATTAACCATTGCTCTTTAAAAGATATATATTGATCGTTTTCCTTTTTCTTTTCCTTTTCCTTTTCCTTTTCATTGAAATAGTCGTTTATATTCATGAGAAATTTAATCGCGTACAAGCATTGTCCAGTTTCAATCAGGCCTGCACTATACTGCATTGTGAACTTTATAAACATTTCTTGTTGAATATCCTCTGAAAAGTAAGATCTTTTTATATATATATATAATTGTTACAATTATCGAAGAAACGGGTCGTCATGAGAAAATTGAATCCCGAATTACTGATTGGAAATATGTGTTGACTAATCTGCCAGAAAACATAATTTAATACTTCCATGCACGTGCAGCTACGATTGTCCATGTAGCTGAAAGATTTCATTATTTCGTCCAATGAGTCGAATGTTATACCGAATGAATTCACTTCTTTTACTTTTTTAAGAACAGTCAATTGTTCATCCTCTCGAGAAGTAACATCTTCCACTAAAGAGAGAGGATTACATTAGAGAATATTTGAACAAATATCCATCCATTTGATAATTTATTATCGAATTTTATTATTTTATGATTATAAATTTGAGAGAAAGTGGCGTGTAAAAATTTTTTAATTCGATGTATTTAT